TCTTATCCGAAAATTTTATCCAATTATGAGATATGAATAGTATTGACATATAGGAACCTGAAAATCTTATTTGAAAATATTATCCAAATTAATTATTAAGATAAAAAAATTTGGGAAAAAAACAAAAAAATAAATAGTAATTGCCCTTTGCCATGACAATGGGTGGAAACACACAATACTATTTGCAAGGGCAATCACTATTCATGTGAATAGTGGCTGCCCTAGCCCCCTTGTCATGGCAAGGGGCAAATGGGTGGAGTTGCTCTTATGGTGAACTCCCTATCAATTTTGTTGGGTTGGGGATGTTCAATTTTCCGAAGCATAGATCAAATTGCCAGTATTTAAACAGCACCATGCATACTTTTTGGTTGCACTGTGTTACCTGTCTCCTGGTGGCTGGTACGTACATGTTTTATGTTTTTTCAATTATTAAGGCCCTGTTCGTTTATGTTTTGAGAGCCCATTTTCATTTTGAGAGAACAAAAACAAACAAAAACCTGTTCGGTGGGCACAAACAGAAAACACATAGAACGTCTTATGAAAACAAAAACAATTTCATGTCTACTTGTAAAAAACAGAAAAAAGCTTTTTTCATTCTCACAGGAAACAACATTGAAAACACGATGCTTCTCTCCCCATCAGACCAAAACCACCATCAAACGCTGCCAACAGAGAATCACACGCAGAGCTTGAACCACCAACATCACCCTATCAAAATCAACACCGCCCCATCGAACCAGATTGTCACCGCCACTCAATCGAACCCAACAAAATCTCTACGCAATTGAATTGAACCACCATCGTTGAACAACTAATTACCGAATCAATTTTCAGTCCAAGAAAAGGAAAGGGAGCTGTGAAGCTATTGGAAGGTGAGGTTGCAGAGAGAGAGACAGAGACAGAGAGAGGGTACAGCAGCATGAAGAGAAAGTGGAAAAGAGGGGGGTTGGTATGATTCTTCAATTTTGGAGAGAGAGAGAGAAAGAGAGGGAATGTTAGAATTGGGGTGGGTTTGCAGAGAGTGAAAGTGAAGGTTGGGTTGAGGTTTCAATTTTTTTTTAAAAGATAATTCTAGTTTTATACTATATAATTTTATTCTATTTTTTAAATGATATTCTTTAAGATGCTTAAAAAATATTTTTTAAAAATAATATACGTACTTAATTTTTTTTTTTTAACTCACATATTAATTACATAATGTTGTATTTAAAAAACATAATGCATTTTAATTAAAGTTACATACATCTTCACTGTTTTTGTCATTTTCACATATTACTACCAGACTCGTTTTCATTGTTTTTGTTCTCTGAAAACAGTTTTTAACTAATCTACCAGACACATTTTTGTTCTTTGAAAATGTATTTTTATTTTCTCGTTTTCATTCTATGGAAACATTTTCTGAAAATACTCTCTGAAAACATTACCAGACGGGCTCTAAATCTCACTGAAAGATAAGTGGTATAACATGGGTGAAAGGATGAGTAAACAATACAAGTACCGGCCTGAGTGGTTAAGAATTTAACCCTTCGCATTCGAAGTTCTTTTGGGCTTGTTTTAGAAGGTTCCCCGACGTGGCCCAAATCCAACTGGTCACCAGCAACAAGTAGCTAAAGTAACTGTAACCTGCAAAGCCCTCCTCGCGGAAGAGGTACTAACTAGGATAATATGTCGAAGACAGGTGAGGTCGTATGCGTTACAGGTGGAAGTGGCTGCATTGGATCATGGGTCGTCCGCCTCCTCCTCGACCGTAATTACACCGTCCATGCCACCGTCAAAGATCTCAGTTAGTTTATCCTTTGCCTTTTCCATTTATCTACACAACTGCCATTTCCTTGCTGTTAAGTCTGAAACGTCGTCGTATCGTTTTTGTTGCAGAGGACGAGGGTGAGACGAAGCATCTAGAAGCCCTAGAAGGAGCATCGACGCGTCTCCGTCTCTTCCAGATCGACCTCCTCGACTACAACTCCATCTTCGCCGCCATCAATGGCTGCTCCGGCGTCTTCCACCTCGCCTCTCCTTGCATCATCGATCAAGTCCAAGACCCTGAGGTTGCTTCATCTTCACAAAAACGCCATAAAAGAAGCTCAGTTCTTTGTAATTATGATTATATTTAGATGAAATTGTTGTGCTTTTTGTTATACAGAAGGAGCTTCTGGACCCGGCGATCAAAGGAACGCTTAATGTTCTGACGGCAGCGAAGCAGTCTGGGGTCAGGCGAGTGGTGCTGACATCCTCCAACTCCGCCATCATTCCCAGCCCTCGCTGGCCGTCCGATAAGATCAAGGGTGAGGATTGCTGGACCGATATTGACTACTGCAAGCAGAAGGGAGTGAGTTACTGAGTGCCTAAGTTCCTTGTTATTATGGTTCGGAATTTTGAAAATTGGGGACTGTGATGTGATGCTGATTGTGTATGGTGTTTGGTTAGTTGTGGTATTCATTGTCGAAAACTTTGGCGGAGAAAGCTGCGTGGGAATTTGCCAAGGAGAAGGGATTGGATGTGGTTGTGGTGAATCCTGGCACCGTGATGGGCGATGTCATTTCGCCCAGGCTTAATGCTAGCATGGTGATGCTATTGCGCCTTCTTGAGGGTATTGTTCTCTGCACATTTGTGTTTGAATATCTTCTAGCATTGCACCTGGAAGTAGATTGTTGACTCCATCCAATTCTCATATGTGCAGTCTTATTTGAATACTCTATTATTGTGTAATGTTCTGTTGCCTGATAGTTTGCCATGTGATGTTGCCAAATTGTCGATCACAATCATACATTCAGACCAGACATAGTTTTGCATTTGATTGACAGTTTGTTTGATAACATAACATCTCTATAGTAAGAGAACATTTCCCACTTATTATTTGTGGTAACATGAGACTTAAGGTGACCAAGTTCTTATTGAGGCTGTAGTTGGTAGATGAAGCAGGAAGCCGGTGGACATTAGATATTTTCTGAAAAGACGTTTCTGCTAAAGAAAGGTTTGAGTTTGGTTTTTAAAATCTTGAAGTGTTTCTTAATTTATAACACTGAGTTTGTTTGAAGTTTTTTGCCTAGTTAAACCCCAAGTTTGGAGAAGGTGGATTGTGTGAGAATGAGTGTGTGTGGCAATAGAGGAATCTTTTTGCACCTCTTTGCTAGCAAGCAAATACTTGGCTCCTTCTTTCCTGCAAATCACCCTTTCACGTGTGCAGAATTTATTTATTTTTTTGTTTCTTTTGAGAGTTTAATGAGTTATCTTTGCACACATGTGAAGCTGTGATTTGCAAGAACAGAGGACTGGCTCCTTCCAGATAAGGAGCCAAGCAGAGTTCCTGCTAGCATATGTCTCTTTAAGTTTGATAGTTTATGTCAATAAAGGGTCGGTTTTTGGTTTCCTTAAATTGTCTATTCATGTCACCTTATCTCGTCTCCTGGTTGGTGGAGGACTGGACAGAAGGGTAATGGCCCTAGAAACATCATGGCTGAAGTACCAAGGAAAATCGATCAACCTTAAAAAGAAAAAGAATTGACAATATACTTGTCAATCTTTGCTGCAGGCTGCACTGAAACGTATGAGAACTTCTTTATGGGATCTGTGCATTTTAAAGATGTAGCTCTTGCACATATTTTAGTGTATGAGAACAAATCGGCCACTGGTAGGCACCTGTGCGTTGAAGCTATATCACATTATGGTGACTTCGTGGCCAAGGTAGCTGAACTTTACCCTGAGTACAAGGTTCCGAGGTAAATTCCAGTCCTTAGACTCCTGTAAAGTGGTTTTGCAACTGAAACTATGTGCATATATATACATGCATATATTTTGCCATATATATGTAAAGTGGTTTTGCCATAACTACGTGCATATATTTTTTTTGCCATAACCTTGTGCATATCTTATGTTTAGGAGTTTGGTTTCCTGATAACAACAATAAGCATCAGAACGTCAAATTTGCAGTATCATGAAACTGATTCCCTATGTTATAATTGATAGCAAAACAACAGATGATCAAGCTCAACCTCAACATAACACAGCTACAGCTCAATGTACTGAATTATGTTCTCACAAATGGTTCTAAGTGATTGTATTTAGTTAGACAGGTTGAGTGATTTTAGGGATTAGTCTGTTACTGTATTGCTAAAGCTTACTATAAGTACTTGTAAATCCTTCTCCAAAAATTAATGAGAAAAAATCTGTTATTTTACAATAATTAGTGTCGAGACATCAAATGCTTCATTGCAACTTCATTAACTGCCAGCACTCCTTTTACAGTCATTCCATGAACACATGGCTTTGAAATTGCTCAAGCTGTTAATACGTTTATTATTGTGCAGTTTGCCGAAGGATACCCAACCCGGATTGCTGAGGGAAAAAAATGCCGCGAATAAGCTAATGAACTTGGGTTTAGAATTCATTCCCATGGATCAAATCATCAAGGATGCTGTTGAGAGCCTAAAGAGCAAGGGATTTATTTCATAAACGAAACTGAAGGATATGAAACTTATGAGGAACCTACTTATTGTAGAAGTGGTGAGGACATGCAACCTAAATGATATAGTTAATGGATTGTGTTTAATATTATGTACCAGTCATGCCTCCATGCAATCTGTATATGAATAAATAAGCAACATTTGAATGTTCATAATCTATTGTGATGTGGTATTTGCTTAAAATTAAAAGTTAACATAGTCCTAAACTCAATTCTCATTTACTGGCTCAAGGTGCAGCGGATGGTGAAAAGCTACCATTTTTATTTATTTTCGTATTCACAAACATTAAGCTAATAAGGTAAAGACGACTTGTAACTCAAGCGATTATGAGCGCAAATTTGAATTTTTGAGCAAAACTTATTCTCATGGGTAAAAGATTCCAAGAATAAAACCCAGATCCCAAGTTTTTCAATTCCCAATTCGTCGTCACACTCTGTCAGCTTAGCGACATTCGAATTTTGACTATTTTTCAGGTCACATACATTTTTGGAGTTTCAGCATTTAATTAAATAAATATTAATATTAATATTTCTGAGCGGTGCTGCAAGTCGTGGCCCAAAAGACATCATCCCCCAAAATAGAGAAAGAAAGAAGTCCCAATGGCCTCATTTACTTGTGTTCATCCTCTGCTCTTGTTGCTCTGTTCCGTCTTACTGTTGCCAACAACCACAACTTCTTCTGAGAGCAACAAAGTTAGAGTTGATGTCTACTATGAAACCCTGTGTCCCGACAGTGAAGATTTCATCGTGAAGGATCTGATCAAGCTCTTTGAAAGTGGGCTCATCTCCATAGTTGATCTCAAGCTCTATCCCTACGGCAACGCCAAGCTTGGATCCAACAACACCATCTATTGCCAGGTCTCTCTCTCTCTCTCTCTCTCTCTCTCTCTCTCTCTCTCTCTTGTTGCTTTCTGTTTCTATTAACAATAATTTTAATTAATATTATTGGCCTAACGGCAACATTGAAACTTTTCATTTTCATTGACCATGAGTATTTCTAGTTCTTGGCTTCTAGGGTGACCTTTGAGCCACTTTTCCGTCAGTAATGTCATTTTTCTCTATAAACTTAATTAAAAAGAAAAAAGAGAGGGAAATCCATTATTTATATGAACATTTTGGTTAAAATGCACTGAAGGAAGAGATGGAGAAAATATTGTATCTAATTATAAAAAAATTAAATTTTTTTTTTAAAAAAAAGGGGATAATAATGAATTTTTAGGACCATGAATTTTGGAATTTACGTGTGTTTAGGTAACTATAAACAGCCACCCAAGAGAAAAAGTAACCTGCCAACTGTTTTGTCTAAATTGCCACTTGTAATCCACCAATTTTGGGCAAAGGCAAAATCTCTGACTTGATCTTTGGCTCTTGCTCTGTTTAACAGGATTCACAAATGGCGAAATTAACGCTTCACTGACAACCTCATAATCATAAGACCGGATAAGCTCTTCTGTTCTTTCTCAGTTTTCTTATTGCTTCAATGGCTTCCTCTCGCACAGAAAGTAGAACCCTTTGTTTTTCTCTTCTCCCCTGCCTCTTGTTGTTTGCTCTGTTCGCACCCGCTTCTTCTTCTGCTAGAACTCTGCCTTCTGATTCTGGAAAAGTTTCGTTGGCTTTGTACTATGAGTCCCTTTGCCCTTACAGCGCCAACTTTATTGTCAATTACCTGGTCAAGCTCTTTGAAGATGACCTCATTTCCATTGTTGATCTCAAGCTTTCTCCTTGGGGTAATGCCAAGCTCAGAAGCAATGACACCTTCAGTTGCCAGGTCCTTTTATTCTTTCCGTGTTTTTTTTTCTTTTGAATTTTGTATCTGGGTTTTATGAAAGGATGCCATTTCATGGACTGGTCCTCTAAATGATTGCCGTAAATTGGTGGTGGAACATAATAAATTTCTTAACCATTGTTGTTCAACCCGAGTGATTGTCCTTCACTTCTTGCATGTGGGTTTTGTCTATTCTTGCTTAATTTATGGTTTCTGAGGGTTGTAGATGTAATTGATATGAATTTCAATTGCATTCAGACTGGTTGACTTGTTTGTGATGGTTGCAGCATGGTCCATCTGAATGCTTATTAAACACCGTGGAAGCCTGTGCCATCAAGATCTGGCCTGCACTGGTAAGACTTGATCAAGCTAGATATAAAGAAACTTCCCACAATGATGTTAGTTATCGAAATTTTCTGGTTGACAGCTATTGTCTTATAATAAAACACGCAATGCACTAGGCGTTGGTGGTTTATCCTTCTAGATTTGTTTAATGAATTCTTCGAGAAATTTGCTTGGATTCATTATGTAATTAGTTTTCAATCTTCTTGGATAGTTCAGTGTCCTTACATATATAGGATAGGGTTGTTGGTTGGTTTCGCAGAAACGTATTCCTAGTCAAATGCCAGTTATGGAGTGTTGTTGGAACTATAGAAAGTAATGCTCAAGCTGAAATGCTAACATTTGGTTCACTGTCACCTTGATGCAGAATGATCATTTTCCTTTCATTTATTGCATTGAGAGTTTGGTTTACGAGCACAAGTATCCCCAGTGGGAGTCATGTTATGAGAAACTGGGCTTGGATTCAAAACCTATTGCTGAATGCTACAGTAGTGGACTGGGCAAAGAGGTCAGTTTTTTTAGCTTATTAATCGTTCATAGAATTCAAACACGCTCTTGTAATGCATCTATTTATTTTATTGCATCTTAACAAGAATCAAACCTTGTTGTAAAACTCTTTTGACATTTCACTGATTGTTAATCATGCCATTTTTTGAAACCTCCGTTATTCTGTTGAGAGGGACAATACAAACCCCTTTCTCTTTTCCTTGTTTGGTGTTTGTGATTTTTAATGAAAGGAAAAAAGAAACACAATATAAGTGGAATTATTCTCTGGCAGCTTGAACTACAATATGCAGCTGAAACCAGTGCTCTCCAGCCTCCACATCAGTATGTGCCATGGGTAGTTGTAGATGGACTGCCAATTTATGAGGTTTGTTTCCTTCTCATGATTAGATTTCTAATTCCATTTCGATTGCCACCGAGGTTGGGTTATGCATATATTTTTTTAAGTATCTGGACTACTGATGGTTCTTTTTTGCTTCAATAGAGTAGAGTATTGTCAAGTTGTTAATTCTATCTGTTCTTTATATATTTTAAGAAAAACAATCTTCTATGATGTTTTCCCCAACTTGATTGACTCATAGTAGTGAGTTTATTGTTCTATTATCGGGATCTTCAAGAAATGACATTTCTTCTCCCGTTGCAGGACTACGAAAACTTTCTGACCTATGTCTGCAATGCTTATAATGGCACCGCTGCCCTCAAGGCTTGCAGCAAACTATCCCTTAATACCATCCAAAAGGCAAGCACTAAATCTACCCTTTCAGTTGGTTGTAACGAGGGAAAGATGCCAGCATTATTCGGAAGAATAAGATCAACCCTAACATCGTGGATGCGTCAGATGAACATGGCAATTTGGATATAGATGTCTCGCAATTCCATATCCATTTTAATCCAGTCATCAACGGTATGGTGCAGCTTTTGCTCGTATTTCCCATTTCCAGTAGATTGCAGTTACTTGTGAGTTGGTTGGTACCGAACAAAGAGACTTAATGTGCTGTTAATGTGTCCTTATCTTTACTAATAAATATACAGGAATAGTAGTATATATGGTGTAAATGGATCATGTTTATGTAGGAGCTAGTAGATTTTAATAAATTGAAAGACTTTGTTATGGTGGGGCTTGCATTAAACCTTGCCATTTCCATTTCCATTTCCAATTCCAATTAACACAGGGTGACCCTGTCATATAAAACAAGGTGTGCTTCTCAGTGCCAAGCTTTGTTTTGGGTGCACTAAGGGCCCATTGGGTTTCATGGGCTAACCATGATAGCGTTCGTAAACAATCCCAACTCGCTTGAAAACTGGATTGGATTGGATTCACAGGTACTATGTAATCCCTGGAGAGTTCCCAACTATGCCTTCCTTATGAGAAACACAATGGGAAAATGGTAGTCAATTCACACTGCCCTTTTTTGAGAGGGGCAATAATATATTAAAATCACACACTACACGGATGTTATGACTCGAATTTAGGACTTTGCTTGGGACAATAATTACTCTAAACAACTACAATAGTAGGTGGTTTGCAAATTCACACATCCGATAAACCCGATGAATCTTTCCATAGCTCTCAAAAAACATTGTATGGTGTGCTTCCACCACACAATAGTTTACACTATAAAACCCCCTCAAATTTGAACAAGTTGTCACTTCCAAATGAGAATCAACAAAATGGCTAAAAAATAAAAAATAAAAAAATTCATTCATTTAGAGAGACTGATTGGATGTTAGCTGATTGATTGGGCTGCAGATTAGAAGGAAAAGGAAGTGAAAGGAGAAACGACTCTTTTGTTTCGGGTCTACATAACAAAATGATTCTTCCAATAACCATCAAGTTAAAATTCCAATTAGGGCTCCACAGAGTCGCTATCAAATCAATAGACATCAAATAATTACCCATCAAGTGAATGAATGGTCAATGATGATATGTCTCTTCATCCAATCAAATGAAGCCACACATTTACCACTCCAATTTGCTTCTTTAATTTGTCTTCTACTACACGGGTCAAACCCTTAAGTAAAAAGTAGGTCCATGACTTCCTGCCCTAGCTACCCATTTTAATTTCCTTGTTCTCTAAGTTACAGCAACAGTGCAATTCAAAATTTGCTCCGTGAATTAGCCATGTACAAACAATTTTGCTAAGATTAATCACCTACGTAACCGTAGACTATTAATCAAAAACCTCCCATACATATTATACAGAGCGACTGTTGTTACCACAACTCTTTTGAAATTTTGAACTTCTATAATTCTTTTGTTTAGGGAAGTATCCAAGGCTGAAGAAAGAGCAGTGGATTGGACAGTGTCTGTGAAGAAATCTACGCTTCATATATCCTGTCGGAGACTCAAACTACAGTTTGTCAAACAAGGTAGAAGGGACCCATCTTTATCAGTATATATCACTGAATGGGTCGTATCTTTGCACAAGCTTATTATTCTCTACCACAACTCTTGGCTTTTCTGTCTTTGGCTTTGGCACCCTCCTAATCCTATGCGTCGATGCAAAGGGCCACCACCACTGCCCAACTGTAGAAAATAAATCACCAGCATTTGACAAAGCCATTGCCCATCATTCAATCTTTCCCTTCCTAGAACCTAGAAGCTACAACCAACCTCATTTTTATTCTTATTCTTTTCTTTTTTTTGGGTGATATTTGTAAATACAATTATGCATGGAACGTTTCTCTCACAATCGCTAATTGTGTAATTCGTTTGATTGGAAAGTTCAGCACAATGTAATGCATAGAATCGGAGCCATAAAGTAATTCCAAATTAATTAGTAATTAATTGTGAAAGTCAATATGCATGGCATCATCCTTTAAGATTTTTTTTAAAAAAAGTAAAAGAAAACCATTTAAGTTAAATCGTGTCAAAATTCTTGTTACTACCACCAATGGTTAACTGGCATCTTAAAGGTTAAGTGTAATTTTTTTTTAATTGAAAATAAAAATAAATGAAAAGCCCTGAACAATACAAGAGGACAATAAATTCTGATTAATAAAATAAAAAAGTAAAATCCTGTTATGTATGAACTGGAGTAACAAACAAGACAGAGATTACGCCATAATAGACAAACAAATGGTAATAAAATTCGATAAAATTGCATGTCGAGTGTAATGATCAAACAAATTCCCTTAGCATAGAGTGTAAGATCATCTATATATTTAATTCCACCGTGTGCATTACGATATTGAATAAGTTGCAGCATTGGCGGACTTAGAAATTTTTTAACAGAGGTGCAATATTAATTAAGTATGAAAAATGGTTTTTCGGAATAATCGTTTTCTCAAGATAATTTTTGGCGGCTTTTATTCCTTACACATCAAATAAGAAAACTTGATTTTATGGGATTTTAGTATGAACTATATATTGACTTAATGAACCACCATTTTTAGCATAAATTGTATTTTGCACTAAAATCGAATTTTCATATTTTGATTTGGTGGGAATTTGATTTTTTAGTATTTTTATTTGAATCAAAATGGAGGGTACTTCCTTATTTACATTGTAAACTTAAGTATATGGAGTAATATAAAAATAAATAAAAGTAAAAGGACAAAGACATTTACTAAGGGCAATTTGAAGCACCTACAATGATTTTTCCGGTGAGGGGCAGAGTCGGTCCATTGATTTTGGAGGCCCTGTGCAAATATGGATGTCGAGGCCCTATATATACAAGTAGGAAAAAAAAATTCCATATAGAAACAAAAATTTCTGACACGGGAAGAACACATTCGGCAAGAGCTTCCCAGACAAATTTATTTAGTCACCCTTCCAAATCACAGAGCTGATAAATTGATTTTCCAATTTAAATCCTTGATGAATTCTCATGTTAATAAGGGAGGGAGAAAAGAACTGTGATTTTGGGGAAATGGCTAAAGCTTGGGTTTTTACAATCCAAAATTTGATGGAAGATGGTGGTATACTGGTACTGAAGATAAATGGCTTCATTTGAAGGAGGAGAGTGAGAAAGACTTGCTGAAAGAGAAAAGAATATTATAATAGTTTTGCAGCTTGAGAGTCGGGAAGAGGAAAACACAGGTGTCAAGCCATAATAAATAAATAAAAAGAAGAGTTGCAGCGTAAGAGTTGGGAAGAGGAAAATGAATTAAATTAGGGCATCTACTCTCTAAGTTGTAGAATTTGTTGATAATTAATATTCAATTCAATTTTGGTTTTGGTGCCTTGTATGTAGTGTTGTGAGGTGATATTTAATATTTCATTTTTATTTTCATGTTTTAGTTAATTTAATGGGTTGACTTGGAAAAATTTGGAGGTTCCTAAATTTTGGGGGCCCTGTGCGGTCGCACACCTCGCACACCCCATGAGCCGCCTCAGGCGAGGGGAAGTACAGCTGCACCTCTTTGCGCCTTACTAGGTCCGCCAGTGAGTTGTTGATTAACTTTTCTAATATAATACAAATATTGAGTATGCCCTCTCCATTGTATTCCTTGAGTTTCTCAATGAATTTCCCTCATATTGTCAAGGTTTCTTAAAAAGAAGATGTACCACTAGATCGAAAACTAATTTATATTGTGTATTGAGCTAAACAAGTGCAAAAATGCATATGAAAATGCAAATGACATTTTTATTATTTAAATATTATAAAACGATATGGAATCATTTTTAAAAATAAAAATAAAAATCAGACACTAATGTTAAGCACCCACTTCTAGGAGGTATAAGTTGAGGATATCTCATTGTGGTTGGTTGGTTAAAATGATTTACTTTCTAAGTCTCATTCAAAGATCATTTGAGTCGGAATCATTAAACATAATTATTTGATAATCCCATCTTAATCATTGTTGAAATTTGAAGGGATAAAATATTAAAACACCAACAAAAATAAAGGGAAGTGGGGCTTAAAGATGCAACACTAAATCCAATAAGTAATTCCATATGCCGATTCCCTTCTAGAACATCACAAGAAAGTCATCCAATTTTGCTACCTGTAAAAAGCACAGCTAGCTCTAATTTTTTTTATTTTATTTTTTGGTCACGTAACATTAATCAAATACTTGTTGATTATGTCCCCATCCCCCCCTGCACAAGTTTTGGTTTATCTTCTACCAACTACGTTAAACAATAAATTTAGTGATATCTTCTTTTCAAGCCTCATCCTCTAATTTTATCGGTTGGTTCTCATCATCTAATGGGTTTGCCGTCATGCATACGTAGCTAAGAATTTCCTCACAAATTTGTAATCACTATTTTACTTCTTTTTTTAAGGAATTTTTTCTATTGAGAAGAGCGATACTAGTATATTCTACAGTATTATAATATTGTATAATATACTTAGTGGCTTTAGTTTAAAGACCATTACGATTAAAATTCTTTAACTAAAGAAAAAAGGTGGAGTCTCGTGGGCATAATGAAATTCATACAAATTTAATATGTTTGTTAGTCATTTCGTTGGAATCTCAGTTAAAAATTGACGTGAGATTTAAAGTTTACAGAAACTTATGTGAGATTTTATCATCACTAATATATATTACAGAAAGGTCAACTACGCAAATTCTTTGTACCTACCTACCTCTTGTCAATTACTTATTACATACAACATTTCTCTAAAAGAATTCAAATTTTGGTCAATTACGTATAGTTTTTTTGTGGTGTTGTGATTGCAGATATATCATTTTCATATAGACCAAAGGGAAGTGATCAAGTATTGGTTCGCTTTGTTTTCAAGTGAAAAAAATACTATCTGGCTGTCCTTCAATCCCCAAATTAGTTAAAGATCTTATTACACGGCCAAAAGCATATATATTTGCCAGGAGGCTTGGCATTACAAGCATGTATAGCTGAGCTGAGATAGGAAGGACTCGACAAAGAAATTGCAGAATGAGAGCATTAATCCAGATCACCTCTCAATTTGACCGTCGTCTTCAAGATGGCCTCAAGTTGGGTAATGAGATTTGATTTGGACTGAGTAGCCCTTCAGAAAATTGATTTGCAATTCTGGTTGGGGTTCGCCAAATTTATGTGACTTTAAATTTTTTTTCAAAACAATGAAACGTTTTACTATCCAATTAGTTATCATCAACAAGATATAAGAGTGCAATTTACAATCACCTGTAAACCACACATGCCAAGTAATAAATTATATAATCTTTATAATTCACACCTTATTGTTTAGTCCCTTTTTTTTTTGGTAAAAAGGAAAACCCTCACAACTCACTACTACTCATTAGGTACAAAGTTTTAAGGTAAACCTCGATTATGTGAAAATTGCAATCATTCAGAAACCCTCACAACTCACTACTAACTTAAGTATAAAGTTTTAAGATAAATCTCAGATACATTGAAGAAAAACCTTTGCAACTCACAACTATATGACTAGATAAACCCCGAATATGCGTAAATTGTAATCATTCGAAAAACCACCGACTTAAGATAAACTCAAGAGTGTTCTCGCATCCTTGAATTTACAATTTGTCTCATAACTTCTCAAAGTCATTTTGTTCATTTTACAATAGCCACTCCTAACTTCTTGTTTATAACATAAACATATGGCCCCTAACTTCAGAAACCCTCACAACTCAGTACTAACTCGTTAGGTAAAAAGTCTTAAGATAAATCTCGGATACATTGAAGAAAAACCCTCGCAACTCACAACTATATAAGAAGGTAAACCCCAAATATGTGTAATTGCAATCATTCGAAAAATGACCCACTTAAGATAAACTCAAGATTGTTCTTGCATCCTTTAATTTACAACTTATCTCATAACTCCTCAAATGAGTCGTCTTTTTTTTTAATAATCATTTTACAATAGTCATTCCTAACTTCTTGTATATAACATAAACATATGGCCCCTAACTTGAATTTTCCCTTTGTTTTTCTCATGTTCTGGCTCCTACATCATTCCAACAAGGACAGCCTATGTACTGATATTGTGATAAAGAAGTGTACCATATATATATATATATACATATATAATAGCAAAGTACTGCATGTGATGTGAATATGTACACCCACCAAAAATAAAGTTCATAAATCCATGGTGCTGCAAATTGGACAACTCCTCACGTGTTACCGTATTTTGTCCGTATAGTTTTTGTGCCTACCCTATGAAACAAGGGCATGTGGGGTGGGGGTGCCTTTGCTTGGGACCCATAGATATTTACATGATCATCAATAAAGAAATCACTAAAGGCTTAAACATATTCTTTGCAAACCCTTTTTATTGAAGAATTTTTCAAATAATTTTATTTAAGAGAAATCCTTTAGGATCCTCTATGAATTTTTTTTTTCAACGATTCAAACTATCTATTTGTTAAGTCTTCATAGATTATCTTTGCAAAAAATTAGATAAATCGAAAACTGTTTTAATATCCAATTGTGTCCTACAAAATCAATAAACACGGTGTTTCAAGAAAGTATTAAAATTTAAATAACTCAATTGAGTGGGTAAATAATATCGGATTTCAAGTGATTTTTTGTAGAGATGATCATTAAATGATTATCTAAAAAATAGATAGTTTGGATTAATAAAGAGTGGTGATTTCTCCACTCTAATTTTATCCACTTACACTCCATTTTATAACAAAAAAAGAGTGTAAGTGGAAAAAATTGAAGTGAGGAAATCATTAACTTTAATAAAATACAATAAAGAATAGATCCTACAACAGTGTCCCTCAAATAAATTTATTTGAGATACAGTTCAATCGAAGCTCTCTCATATATATATATATATATATATATATATATGCCGACTGCCGACTGCCGAAGTGGTGATGGACAAGACCATTCGGTGCAGGTGCTAAAAGAAACCTCATCATCACCCCCCATGCCCATGCCATGCCATGCCAATTAAGCCCACCCCCTTCTTCACACTCTATCTCTCATAAAAATAAAATAAATGAAGACATGGGCTCGAAGAAAGAAAGGACCATGAATGATATGAATGCCAAGATATATAACGACAAAATAAGGAAAGAAAAATGCATCAGAAGCAGCTTGCTTGCATACGCCAAGAGCTTTTCTCTTCCTACAATCAAATTCTTGTGAACTTTGCTCCTTCTGCACTTAAATTCCGCTCTGAATTCTCTGCCCCACCTACTGTAGCATATGAACATGACAGAGACTAATATCAAACAAAACATATTCTTTATTTTTTCTTTTGCCAAAAGCATAATTTTCTTTTTTTTACTTCTACTGTAATTCTACAATTTTTAATCCTAAAGTTATCTTTCTGTAACATAATCTTTAAAGGGCGAAATAGATTTTGACTAGCCAGAAAGTCATGCTAAAGGGTGCTGCCATGACAGGTCCCGAATTTACCGTGTGAACTCTCCGACTATCCATAGCTATGAAAAAAAGAGTTACTATGTAAGGGAAATCAATAGTAAAAGGAAGTTGTTTTCCCTTGAGAGAAATGGATCAAGGTGGTATTTCCAATATGTGAAGATGAGTCGAAGAGAAGAGCAAAGGAAAAGGGCAAGGAGAAAGTGAAAAAAGAGGGACAATCTCAATTGCGATTCTTCAAAAAGCCAGAAAGTGAAAAGCACCTGCCGAGTGCGCAAGGATCGGTATTGTTTATAATAAGATAAAATAAAACAAAAGGCAAACAAAATAATATAAATAATTTTAGCACATTATAGTAGGACAATAAATGTAAGCATGATGACACTTCCATTGGATATGGGGGAGGGAGTCTAATTTTGAAACCCAGAAATGGGTTTTGTTTTTGAGTGACCAGTGGTGGGGTCTACGCCATTATAACGAAATATAAAATAACATAAATAATATAACTTGCAAGAGATATATAATAAAATGGGAAGCAAGAGGGTTGGCTGGTGGTCGTTTTCATACTGAGGTGGAAGGTTACTCCAAATAAAAATAAGAGCAACAACAATCACAAGGGATTATTTATTTGTTTTTTTGTTTTTTATAATAATAAAAAGTTTAAGAGGAGATTAGTTACTCTCATCACCATCTTTAGGACAGACCTACAATCTCGAGCCGGAAGTACTTATGCATGGCACTCAATTGCCAACTGATACTGGTATGGATTTATATAAGAAATCACACATTGTACACCAACGAGGACTGCTGAAACACTAATAGGACTACACACAGTAAAGAAACCTTACCAACTAAATCAACCGGTATACCTTCTTTTCTTTTTTCCTTCTTCTATTCATTGATATGCTTGTAAGTTGTTAAATCCCAATCCAAATACCAAGTAAAAAAGACCCCCAATAAATCCTAAAAACAAATTCTTATTAGATTGAAGAGAGGTGTGGATATAATTTATAAAGGGGGGGAAAACAACACCTGAAACTGAAAGTGCAAAATAAGAGTGAATCAGAAGCGCACGTGGGTATGATGACACATAGACATATAGATATATATATATCTATAGATTGAGTTTGAGCCCAGCTATAGATATAGATATAGCTGGTGGATGAATGCAAAGAAGCCGGGGGACCAGAGAGATCAATTGGGAAAGCTATAGCTATATATAGAGCTGGTTTTGCTCACTGTCTGTTTTTAGTATGGTTTGGCAGTTTTGCCCTATTTTTGCCAGTAAGCCAGGTGACTAGCTGTGACCTCCACAGTCAACAGTCCTGCTGGTTGCAGAAAACCTAAATAATAGAGAAGAATAAATGAACCCCAAATGAACAATATTGTTATTTATTGGATTTAAATGAATTGTGATTTTAAGCATAAGCGATAGTCTAAACTAAAAGAAAGAGGATGACGGGATTTCGGATTTAAATTAATTGTTTAGTGGTATCACTATGATCAGCTGCACAGTATCATAAATTCTAAGTCAAATGAGTAAAGATGATGATCCATATGATATTAAGTTGGAAATTAACTAGCACGAGATGGTGGGAAATTTCTAAAAAATTTGTTCATGGGTTGGTCGATTCAATTATATCAGAGAATCGCCTGATATACATACCTCATAATCACAATTAAAAACAGAGAGAAGATATAATTATAAAAGACCAAAATTAAAAAATTAAAAAAGAAAAAAGAGAGGGGTGAAGGGTGAAAATTGGTGATGAGAGAACCTCCTATACTGCCGTACTAGTAGTAGCAGCATCAGCAGCAGTGGTACTTGAACCACCGCCGCCATCACCACCACCGACATCGCCATCGCCTCCTCCTTGAGAGGGACCCGCCGACACATTCCCGACAACCGCGGTGGCCGTAACGGTCGGCCGTTTCCGTTTCTTTTTCTCGTACGGAATCCCCCTAGCCTTGGCCTGACTTTCTCTCACCTCCCTCAAGTAAATCCTGACGGCCCGAGCCCCGAACGGATTCGACTCGGGCCGTCCACCGTTCTCCTCGTAGGCGGCTCTGAGTCGTCCGATGAGCGCGTCGAGGCTGCCCCAGGCCTGCTTGAGCGGGCAGGCGCAGGGGGCAGGGGGGTTGGGGTGCCCGAAGTAGGGGCAGCCGGCGGCGTGGACCTTGGTCTTCCCGAACTGGTCGAGGTACTTGAGGAACTCGATCACGTGGGCCCCACTGCACCGAGCCAGCGTCAGCGGCGGCTTGTGGTTCTTGAGGTACTGCAGGAAGGTGTTCCAGTCCCGCCGCTTCTGCGACTCTCGCCGGCCCGCGGCGCTCGAGACTCTGGGCCCTGGGCCACGGTGGCTGGAACGGCGGCCCCGGCGGCGGCCGCGGCTATCGACCCGGTTGCTGCCGATGATGGTCCCTCTCCTCCGCTGGTATTCGGGTCGGGTGGTCCGGTTCCCCCTGAAGCTGAATCCATTGTCTCTTTGTTTTGGCAGTTATGCTAAAATATTTTCAACTGGGTATATATATTATATATGGGTTTTTTTTTTTCTCTTTCTGGTCTCTAAGCTGAGGCTTTGAATTGTGGGTTGTTTCTGTCTCTTTCTCTCCCTTCCTCCATGTGAAGGTTGAATATTTGGGGATGGTGAGGTTTCAGAGGAAGGGGATGTTAGTACTGTGGATCTTTTTCACGGGAAAGGTTCTCGATCGCCTCTTGGGGTTTTTTTTTTTTTTTTTTTCCCCCTTTTGGGGGGGGGAGAAGGGGGGGGGGTTTTGGGGGGGGAAGAGGGGGGAGAGAGAGAGAGAGGGAGAGGGGTGAGTGAGAAAGGGGGAGGGTTTTAGGGGGGGAAGAGAGAGGAGAGAGAGAGAGAGAGAGAGAGAGATAGAGGAGGAGGAGCGTTTGGTGATGGGACGTAAAAAAGTATGGATGAATGAATATGAATGAGACTCTCGCTCACTCACTCTCACCCAAGAAAAAAAAATGAGAGAGAGAGAGAGAGAGAGAGAGAGGTGTTAGACAGAAGAAGAGAGAAGAAGAGAGAATTCACAAAATTTCACATGGTGGCCCCTTTGGAAGTGACATGTTTACTATTCAACCCTCCTCTTGCTGCTGCTGCCTCTGCCTCTGCTGCTCTCTCCACTCCGCCTTAAATCTCTATTTTTCCACCAATCCAAGACACCCCCATTTACCATTTATACGCACCCATAAGGCGTTTGTGGATCAACACCTTTTTTCTCTCCTTTTTTTAAAATTCTTTCCCCAAAGAGCAAAAATTTGTTCAAAAGGGTAAAATGAAGTTTGAAATTTTATGAAAGTTTAGTAATCTTAGAGCTCATATGGAATCAGTTATATTTTATGTGTACTTGAACAATACAATTTTAAATATACAAATTTATAAATAAACCCAATCCTAGACATGTATTTATAAAAAAACCCAAGCACTATTTAAACATAGAAACACACCCAAAATCAACTCCAAAGTCAACTTTTTGGGTGTGTTTATAAATGGGTTTTGAGTGTGTGTAATGATTGGTTTTGGGTGTGTTTATAAAGTGTTTTGGGTGTTGGGTTTTTTTATAATTTCAACTTCCATTTTGGGTGTTTTAGTGAAACTCCCTTATGTGATATATTTCTTAATTTAGAATGACCAAATTGTGTAACTAACACAAAACTCATTGAAGAATAGCAGTCGGTTGGTATAAGATTCATATAAAATCTATGTATACTCGACCTTTTAAAAGAACAATTTATAGCACTAAGGACTATTGCTAATACTTCTTAGATAATTGATTATATGTATTTGTAATGGCACAAGTACTTTTTTATATTTATTTATCTGTTAGAAATATTAATTTTTAAGCTCAAAGAACCTATCAAACCCTATGTCTCTATAAGTTAATATAATTATTACATATAATATATATTTACCTATTTAATATGCATGGTTGGGAACGTCAAAGTTAAAAAAAAAACATATAATTCACCTAGTAACGTCATGATTATAACATTGTTTAAAAAAAAAACTCAAAAAAATCGCTTGCTTATGTTTGTGGGGGGGGGGGGGGGAAAGACAATGTAATATGCATATATGTGGAAAACCATAGCTAGGGCCAAATATGATTGCGTGTCTGCAACATTGAAGGGTTGGTGCGTGGAATAAGCAGTGGCTTGAAGTGAAAGGTAAAATAGTGTTATTACCGTTGTAATTAAGTTTTTCTCCTGATGGAGGTCAAACATCTTCAGGTCAATTAAGAATAAGAACGGGGGAAAATTGAAAACCCATTTTAAGTTAAGGACCTCATTAGTGCTTAATCTTTGCTTCAATCAGGGGTGTACGTATGCATACTCCATGGTTGCGACCTCATTAGTGTTGATAGATAACATGAATGTGTTCAAGCTCAAGCGGAAATGGGTGGGCACTTTGAAAATGCTCACGATTCAGCA